TGTAAAGAAATAACCAACGACATAAGCTGGAATATCAAAACCAATTACTACAATTAAACTACAAAAATTAACACTTTTTCAACATAGTGTTACTTTTTATATTTCAATGATATATCATATGGTAATTGTTCAAGCTAATAATAAATTTTATCTTGCTGTTATTCAACAATTACCACAAATAGATCTTTCAACATCAATTCGTTCGTCACAAGAATGTATTCCTGTTGAACATTTATTAAATTCGACAATACTGAATATGACTCAATATCGACGAATAGCATTTTTTCATAAACTTTGTCATATGCATCATGATCTCACTTGTTTTATTGATGAAGCTTATTTATGTTTATGTACAAATGAACACCATGCTAATTGTATGGAATTTAAACATAAAAGAAATTTTGAATGTAAACTAAAAAAATATTGTGCAAATGAAGCGCAATGTGTACAAGATCATCCAAATTGTCCATCAACAAGAATATGTATATGTCCTGAATGCTTTTTTGGTAATGAATGTCAATTCTATGCAAAAGCTCTTGGTTCAACATTAGATGAAATTTTAGGATATGAATTTAAACGAAATGTTATATTATCTCAACAACCTATTACAGTTAAAGTGAGTGCTATTATAACAATGATTATATTTCTCATAGGTCTCATTAACTGTATTTTATCAATGATAATTTTCCGAAGAGAAGCATCACAAAAAGTTGGCTGTGGCATTTATCTTTTGACTGCATCAATTAATTCATTAGCAATTATGATATTATTTACATTGAAGTTTTGGCTACTTTTTCTGTCTTATCAATTAACTTTAGAAGAACGTGGTTTACAAACTATTCTTCTTTTAAATTGTCGAATTGTTGAACCACTTCTAAAAGTTATATTATATATAGATAAATGGCTCCATGCTTGTGTCGCTATAGAACGAATTATTTCCGTACGACAAGGAATTAATTTTGATAAACAGAAAAGCTTAAGAGTTGCTAAATATATTATTATAACAGTGATTTTAAGCAATTTTGCTATTTGTATTCCACAAATAATTGACCTTCGTGTTTTTACTGATAAAACTGAAGAACGAAGCTGGTGTGTTGTTACATATACATCATTTCTACGAATATATAGTTTTACATTAATTATATTTCATTATATGGGTCCATTAGTAATTAACTTTATTTCAGCTATTACTATTATTATAATAACTACTCATCAACGATCAACTTGTCAAAAAAATCTTAGTTTCAAAAAACATCTTATAACTAAAATTAGACAACATAAACATCTTTTAATTAGTCCTATGGTTATTATAATTTTAACATTACCACACTTAATAATTTCATTTATTTTAAAATGTGATAAATCAACTCATCTATTTTGGTTTTATCTTAGTGGATATTTTCTTTCATTTATACCATCAACATGTATGTTTTTAATTTTTGTTATACCATCACCAATTTACAAAAAAGAATTCAAACAAGCAATATCACATTATCGTCGACGATTTCATATATTCCTCATAAATAATACTACACAATACTAATTGTTTAAAAACATTCTTATAAATTCTCTAATAAAATCACTGTCTGCTTACAAATTGTTCTTTGAATTTTATAGTTACTCTAAGGGTGTGGGTGTGGTTAAGGGCGTGGGTGTGCTAGATGAATACAGAGTCCATACACAGATCCACACACACCCTCAATTGAAGAAGAACTGAAAATTTAAAGTTATGATTATATTATTTAAATTTGTTTTTAAATAATTAAACTATATTTTAATTTTGTACTTATATAAACAAACATATAACGTCTGATGATGTTGTTCGAAAGAATGAACGTCGAAATATTACGTAAAATAAAAAGGAAAACATTAAAGAATTAACATCATGTTACACATATAATTGCACACACATTATTCAATGTAATAAGCAGTTTTTAAGATAAATTTCACCAAATTCAATCTTACTCCAGTGTGTCTTGTTGATTAAGACGCAAAACATTAATTTGTGAAACTATTAAAAAAATGTAAATCAATATTTCCGTAAAAATAAAACTTTGTCTTACGAATATGTGTATCGCCTAAAAGTGAATAAACTGTTAATTCCAAGTTCATTAAATTTCTTTTTAACTGTTCAATAGAAACACTTTAGCGAGAAAAAAAGGTGTCTTTAAATTCAACCAACTAAATAATTCTATTATTTTTTCATTTATACTGAAAAAAATGGTATGTTCTAAGAAAAAAGCATTAAAAAATCGTGAAAATAACTTACTATGAATTGCTGTGCTCGGAGTCTTTATTATAATCAAGTTGAACTACACAATCTGCAGATGCATTTGTGTTACAATTCTACAAAAAAAAAGATTTTTGGGTTGGCGAACGATGAGTATACGGGCGTTTATGGCTTCCATCCCTTTTGGACTTACTCGTAAACGAACAACAAGATTATTTTTTGATAGATTCTTCGAAAGTTTTATTGTTTTACCATGACTTGCATATGCTGACCAATTGTTTTTGACTTGGTTAAAATCTGTTTTCTGTAATTAAACAACCTTTTAAAAATAATATGAAGTTTTAATTGAAATAAAAACAATTTCTTTACCTCGTTATTTTTCACAAGATGATTGTTATTATAAAGCAGATAAAAGTGTGTAGACACAAAAAACATCGAGGATTTCCTTATAGAAATCTCGATAGGTGTTGATGAAAGCCGGTGTGGGTGGTTATGGGTGTGGTGGTGACATAATCAAGATACACCCACCCTCCACATAGTGAGTGTCTATCATCTCATAAGCCACCCTCACCCACCTTCACCCACGCCCACACCCACCCTCGACATAGTCAGTGTCTGTCATCTCATAAGCCACCCACACCTTCACCCACCTTCGCCCAAACCCACACCCACATTCACCCACACCAACCCTTACGCTCACCCACATCCACACTCAAATATGATTTCTTTGTTGCTGATATTTACTTTTGATTTGCTAAAATTGAATCCATATTTGCATTCACTATACGTGCCATTGACTTATTGATACTTAGAAACGACTGTTGTTTCATACGTGATCGTTGGATAGTGTATAATAATAGACACATTTTTTTACGGAAATGAAAAAAAATTCAATGTCACAACCTGTCATTTTCTTTTTTTCTGCAGAGACATGCTCGGCTCATAAAATTGTCCTTCAGTTGATGTTCATTGTGAGAATAAAATCATTCAAAGATGTTAACTATTATAATAACGAATTTTATTGTAATATTTACCATTGCACATGGTCAAATTCTGCTCTACATTACTGAAGATGAAAAATCGATTGAGAAATTCAATTGTGTCTATCACATTTACGATGATGGAGAAGAAATTCCGTATTGTCGTCGTCCAGGTGGAATTCGATCACCAAGCTATTCTTACTTTTAGTTTTGGCAAGAAGCTCTCAAAATAGATGTCGAACAAGAAAAAGAGTCACGCCGTTACTTAGAGATGAAAATAATAACATCAAAATGATTTGAATGCTTCGAACTTGTTGAGCTCCCAGGTGCACCAATCCCATATTCGGTTCCGATTGGATCCAATCGGATCATATGCCGGATTCTATCGGAATCCGACGATCCGACAAAATCCTATAGGATTCCTGGTGACGGAATCACTTTGGATTCCGTTATGGTCGGATCCCATCGGATCCAACATCGGATCTCACAATTTCCAACAAACGGATCTAGACGGATCCGATAGGTGACCATAAGGCCATCATAGAAAATAGCTAAAAAAGCCGCTCATCAAATTTGCAGCAAGTGACTGAAAATTTTCCGTACGGAATCCAATGCAAATCCGTCACCAGGAATCCTATCCGATTCTGTCGGATGATCGGATCCTATAAGATCCGATCGGATCCAACGTTGGATTGGTTGACCTGGGCTTGTGTTTTTTTGTCGCTTTTGATCAAAGATAATCTCATCATATCTCTTGGATAAGGGAAGAGTCATTTTACCATAAAAGTGATTAAATATTTCTCTGAAGGATCCAGCAGATAGATTCATTTGTTGGAGGTGACACAAGGTACCATGACACATTTTGATTCTCGTTCAAAGAGTCTCAGCAGACCAATTTATCTCAAGTTCAAGTTTAAAAGAAATCAAACTTCGATTATTTTACTCACGAGGGAACATCCTCAACTGACCCCCGCCTCCGATTTCGACGAAACTTTGTCTGAAGATACGATATGATATCCTCATAAAAATCCTAAAAGGATTTGAGTTGATATTCATTTCTTTAAAGGTTATGGCCATTTTATTGAATTTTTGACCTGGTCGTGGGTATAGATCTGAAAAACTTAAATGACGAATTTGGAAGTGAAATTTCGCCCATAGATAAATATGATGATCCTAAGAATACCCAGAAAGTTTCAGTCAAAAAGAATCTTCCTTTATCGAGATATCGAATTTTCAAGTGAACTCGGTTTCTATGACCGATCTACGGCAAGCGAGTATATTTTAAAAATTCGGTATCACGATAACGGAAGATTCTTTTTGGTTGAAACTTTCAGGATATCCTTAGGATCATTATATCTATCTATGAGCGAAATTTCATGTCGAAATTCATTATTCAGGTTTTCCCGATCTATACCCAGGACCAGGTCGAAAATTTAGTAAAATGGCCATAACCTTTAAAGGAATGAATATCAACTCAAATCCTTTTAGGATTTTTATGAGGATATCATATCGTATCTTCAGACAAAGTTTCATTGAAATCGGACAAGTAGACAAAAAGAAAAAAAAGAAAGAACGGGTGGTATATGAACTATCCTAAATCGAGTATCGAAATAACATTCAACACCAAAAGAAAGAAAATAAAAAACATCACAAGACCAAAATAAATCATATGAAACAAAAACAGGGTGTATAGGTAAACAATTTCGAGAAGTAATATAGTTTTCTTGGCTACGTTTACAGACATATTTATTCCTTAAGTTAGGAAGTTTACGAGACTAGGTAACAACTTATTCTCTACATACAATATTTGAAGAGATCCTCTTCTGGTATATATGAGAATGTGGAATGAGCATTCAAAAAAGTGACTCACAAAAAGTATTGCTGCAAGAAAGATAGTCGATAAAAAGGATACGATTATAAACTAGGAAAAGAATTCGTCGAACTCTATTTCGAAGATATTGTATTAGGCAATCTATGTCTTCGAGAATGTTTTTTTTCGGCGAAGAGATACACAATCTTCTATTCTGTCAAGCTATATCATTAAAAAGCATTTAACGTTTTTTTACAATCCACAATAGTTAACGTAACGTATATTTTACACTACTGAATCAATTATAATATAATATTTTACTGTGCGTGAGAAAAAAAGAATTTTAATTAACTTTTCAATCAAATTTTTGTTACTCGTTTGAAACAGTAGCCTATGGACATTATTTATTGATCATTAAGCTACATTTTTTTATTCAAAATGACGAACATCAGATGTTTGTCTGTCACTGACCTCTTTTAAATATTTATTTGAGTATGTTGGTTAGATTTTAACAAATCAAATGTTCGCTTACTTCAGAGACTTCATTTGTTCTGTTTCTTATCAATACGTTACTTTTTCTCGTTTCTTACAAAATTCTTTTTTTTATCATTCTTTTCTTGTTGTTACTACTTTCTACGAGTTTTTTTAATCATTTAGACGAAAAATAAGTAAAATATGTTTATGGATTTTACTTCCTTTATAATGAATATTTTATGTAGATACTAGATATTTTATGGCTACTGCAATGCAACACAATCGATTCCAAATAAAGTAAGTCTATTTATTCTATATAAAGTATCTATTGTATATTTATTGATGTGAGATAGACAAACTAAGGATTACATGAACCAAGTAGATCGAAACGAACATAAAGTAGATTGTCATAGAGAATAATTATAAATTTTCGACTAATTTTACTTTTAGTCGACTAATTCCACAAATC